AGGAGGAGGAGGAGGAGGAGGGGGTAGGGAAGCGGTGAAATGAGGAGCTGAAGAGAAAGGTGTGGCTCTGTACCGTGTGCGGTGCTGCTGCGGCGGAGCCCCGTATCGGTACCGCGGAGCGGGCAGAAGCGGAGAGGAAACGCGCACCGAGGGTGTCTTGCTCCGGTAAGGGGGCGCGGAGCCGGTGGGGGGGAGACATGGCGAAACGTGCGCTTTAGCTTTACGCCATTTAAAACAATAGCCGGGCGGATTACAGCGTCGATCCTCTTTTATGCGCCCTAATGTTTGCGGACCGCCGGCGATCGTCTGTCCTGCGGCGACGATTTTGATTCCTACCAATGCTGGGTTATTAGTGCGGCTGTCTGTAGCAAAGGCAAGAGAAAATGACGTTTGAAATGAATAAACCATAAATCCGGTTTAAGTTGTTTAGCGGTGACAGCCAGGCGGGCTCTGCGCGTTTGTGCATGTAAGGCACGCGTGTGGGTAAAGGGTTTCTATATGGAACTTCTTTGCTGTCATGTTTTAATGACTTTTTTTTTTTTTATCTCTAAGGATATTAATTGTACTGAAAGCGTGAGCCCTGCGTGTATTTTTGCACGGGCTCACAGTTGCTCACGTTTCCGATGGTGATAATATTAGTATCTTTATTATTGGTAGACTTCCGCGCCCTGGACTGGGCTGAGTTGGGGTCTATGAGGTGTTTATTGGATCAGGGGCGACCCTGGCTCAGTACCAGCCTCCTGGACCTCCAGCACACCCTAATTAAGCAGTGACTTTGCCGACAATCCCCGCTGCCTCACTGGCGAGTGGGGGCTTGGGGGAGGTGGGGGGCCCCCTGAGAGGTCTGACCTGACGGGAGCCGGTGGGGAGACCCAGGGGGAGGCGGCATGGCACCGGGTTGGGGGACCGTGACCCCGGCCTCCTGGTGCGGGCTTGCAAATGACCAGGACTAGAAAAACTAAACGCAAAAGAATCAGTTATGGTCCACTTTTTCAAATCAAAGGGATGTACGATCACAGGCAAACAGGAAGCTCGGACGGACATAACACACACGTATTAACCATGTATCACCATTAACGTGAGTGCTGACAGCGTCACTTCAATTGTGTTGTGCACAGAAACTTTAACGAGCAGTATAAACACATTTTTTTAAATCGGACTATTTTTCTTTTTTTATTGTCTTCCCCAAGAGCTTAGCATTTCTGCGACTTGGGATAGTAAGTTGGGGGGTGGCTGTTATTCGCGAATGGGACAGTGAGTACCCTGCTCCCTAGTTAATGCATTTTCGCAGTGTGAAGTTTGCCCGTTTGCTGGCCCCGCTGACCCGAACATGTCTGTGGTTTGTGTAAATGTTCCTGCTTTATCTGTAGTTACGAACCGTTGCTAATACGCCGTATCCAAAGCAGTCAGGGCCTCCATCTGTGCGTCTGAGCTGACGTATCCATTTAATTATTAACCCGCGTAAAATTACATAATTCAATCTACTAAGCATAATCGCATAGTGTTAACTTTATGTATTGTTGCGAAAAAATAGCTCTTGTTAGATAAAATGTCAGTAACCATATTCCTACACTGTAAAAAAAAAAATGGATACAGCCCTGATACGGTTTTGTTCCCCAAGGTACAAGCGACATTAATGTCCCTCATAGTCCATTTCTGTACCTTAAAAGGTAGATTTTCCTACAGCAGGGGTCTCCAGCTCCGATCCTGGGGAGCTACTGTCCAGTAGGATTTCCATCCTACCTGGCTTCCTGGTATTTACCTAAGAACAGGTGTGGCCCATCAGACACCAGGTAGATAGAAAACCTACTGGACAGTAGCTCTCCAGGACTGGAATTGTAGATCCCTGGTCTACAGCTAGAGTATAACTGGCAGACCCTTGAGGGTTCAGCCCCAGTGACAAGTAATTGTCCCCTCAAAGGTACAAATTGGTGCTTTTTTTCTGACAGTCTACTGTCCAGATTGAGGAGGTTTGGAGACTCATAGTTACAGGTATAAGGGGTATTTGGCTAATGGTTACAGGATGTACATAACAAGTAGGTTTTATTATTGCCGCCGTATTTTTTCTTAGTACTTTATTTGCTGTTCGTTTTGTGTAGCCTCAGCTGTCATGGCATCAGCGGCCCCCCAGAAGAGGATGGTATCATCTGTCTTCATCACTCTGGCATCTCCGCACCGTGCCACCGTCACTCCGCATGCCACGCTGAGTGACTCGCGCGGCTCTGCTGTCACCGTGACCGGCTCTGGGAAATCCTCGCTCGGCGCCCCCAGACTTGGCCCTCCCACAGCCCCCAAAGCCCAAACTGCTGTGCCGTATAGCCACGCCCCTACTACATCGCAGGCCACGCTTCCTGTCTCACACAGCCACACTCCCTCTGCATCACAAGCCACACCCCCCATATCACATAGCCATGCCCCTGCCACATCACAAGTCACACCCCCTACATCACATGGCCGCACCCCCACACCAAAAGCACCACCTCCAACACAATCCAAGCCCATCTTTGCCCCCTCACAAGTCCCACCTCCACCACCATCCAGCCCCACCCTCACCACGCCGAAACAGCCTTTCCACTCAATGCACCAGGGGGTTCTGCCCCCATCCTTGGGCAGCGGTCTGCCCTCCACGGCACATGGGCAGAAGGCTGCACTGGACAGAGAGAGACCAGTGGAAGGTAATGAAACCAGTACATCATTTTTATTTATTTTTTTTGGTTTCTGCTGCATCTCATTTTAATGCAGACAAGCCTCAAGCCTGTATGCTAGTCAGTCGATGGTCTCTTACACATAAACGCAACCATACAGACAGTACACACCCCAGACCCAGGGCGACAGGCAACCTCTGTCTCCGAAAGCAAAGTTTTACAATGTGAAGAATAGCATACTAGCCTACTAGTACACTCCTGTCAGGTTACGTAAACACTCTTAAGAGTTAAATGAACAGGAATACAGCAGTAGGTTTGTAGATGGCTTCTGCATTGTGGAAATGTTTCATCCCATAGCATCTTGAGGTCGTCTGTGAGCTTTGTGTCTGTCAATGTCTGATGTGTGGTCTATATCTGATGTGTGGTCTATGTCTGATGTGTGGTCTATGTCTGATGTGTGGTCTATGTCTGATATGTGGTCTATGTCTGATATGTGGCATGACGGATGGCGCATGGTCCTGATGTGGCATCTTGGTACCGGAGCTCACTCTCTCATCTGTCCCCCCCACAGACATTCCCCCCCCACCTCCGCCTCCACTGCCTTTCCTGGGCGCAGAGCCGTATGCGGACGCTGAGCCCCCCCTGCCTCCCCCACCGCCCATCGACCCATTGCCACCCCCTCCCCTTCCTGTCAGTCAGTCTGAAGCCCCCCTGTCTTCACCCCAAGTAAGATGCATATGTGTTTGTGGCAGAGAGATGTTCTGCCAATTTACCCACTGTGATGTATTTATCATTGACTGATTTAAGGTGTTTTTAATATGTAAATCAGAGTACTGCACACATTTCCTAATGTGCTGCGATTGTTTACCTTCTTTGTGAACTTCAGCTTTCCTTATGATTTTGTTTTTCGATGGATTGACGATGCAAAGCAAGCAGCAGACTGGCATCAGCGCTGCCCCCTTGTCTCTGCAGATGAAGCCTGTGCCTGGACCTCAGTATGGGGAGACGGCGCCACCTGCTGGTCAAAGCCAGAACAACCAGACTCCAAGAAACGAGGACCTCAAGGATGATGCGGAGGGCAAAGGTCAGCGGAGGCGTCCAAAACCCTGAAAAACAAATCTCCCAGATTCAGGAAGGTTTTGGCCCATATGTGGTGATCAAGTCATTTTTTTTACTTTAGTTTGCATTTGATTTTTTTGTTTGTTTTCAGACGTGTGTGGATTTTGCCGGAAACCAGTGGCCCTCAGCGAGGCCGCCATTCAGGCCCTGAACAGGACATACCACGCAGGCTGCTTCCAGTGCAGGCAGTGTTTCCTGCCCCTGGCTGGACAGCTTTACTACAACAAGGCAGGGATTCCACTGTGTGAAGCCTGTTACCAGGCAAGTGCCAGGCGGGGTCTGAATGGGGGCTTCAACAAGCAGCAATTTAAATTATGTGTAACTCTTTACTTGATGGGGCACAAATAATATAGTATTATGCTGCTACTTATGTATCAATTAACCACAAAGTCTTAGTTACATACTGATTTCATGGTAATTCATCTTTAATGAATTGTGCTGCATGTTTTATCTCAAGCAGTTACTTTATTTGTTACTATATCTGTTAATTCTGTAAACCTTTGTGAACTACCGAAGGACCCACTCATGAATAACACGTTAAATACTCATCCCATGTTTGTTCATCATTAATGTATCATGACGTATCTTTTATCTCAAGTAGGGAAAATATTTGTTCATGATTTGTTCATGATTTATATGTTAGTAGTAACTGAGTTATTACTAAGTATTTGTGCACCATCAAGGAAAATGTTACCAAATTATGGGCCTGAGCGGACAGTATATGAACTGTTTACATTTAAGCTTATTTCTCTGGATTGGCTGTTCATTGTATGTGTTGCACCATCTATAATATTCATTTATTTAAATTTGTAAACAATGAAAATACACTGTAATTGAGTGACTCTGCGGGCAGTGATCTGCGGGCAGTGACTCTGCGGGCAGTGACTCTGCGGCCAGAGTCTGATACTCTCAGCGATGCTGCTCTGAATTCTGCCTTTAGCTCTGTGTGTGTGGAGTTTGCATCTTCTCCCTCTTTTCATGGGATTTCACTGGCTGCTCTGTGCTGTAAAAATGGTGCCGCCCTTCATGTGAGACGTAAAACCGAGTTCCTGACTCCCTGAGGTCATAAAAGATCCCTGGGCATCTGTGGAAAGTGTAAGGGGGGGGCGGTACCCCGAGGTCCTGGCTAACACTGTCCACTGTGGCCCTATCAAATCCGGCCCCCTAATCATCCCCTATATCTAACTGGTGAATTCTCTCCTGCCCCTTCACCACCTTAGCTACTGTGTGGTGGGCGTACTGGTGCAGGATGGCTGCTGTCACACCATCCAGGTGGGGGCTGCACAGTGGGGGTGGCTGGAGTGGCTCCCCATTGGTTCTGTAAAGCGCTTTGGGTGTCTTGGAAAATGCTATATAAATGAATAAAATATTCATGAATTCATTCAAAAAGGATTCACACCCACAACAAAACTGCCTGCAGAGGAGCAGTGATGCAAAAGCTTTAGAATAATGATACTGTTAGCATTTGAATGAGGTTTGCCTGGCACAACAGTTTGTTAGCAGCACATGCTAACGTCCCTGCGGCGCCGTAGGCCAGCCTGGAGCAGTGTTGGGCGTGCGGGGAGACCATCAAGGAGCAGGTGATGCGGGCCCTGGGACGGGCATACCACCCCCCCTGCTTCGTATGCAGCACGTGCAGCCGGCCGCTCGGAGAAGAGAGGTTTGCCCAGGGCGAGGTCGGGGAAGTCTACTGCCTCGCTGACTACTACAGGTAAGCGCCCTGCTTTGACTCTTGTTGACGATTTGCTGTAGCCCCAAGATGGGCCTTTGCTATTGGCCGTTGGGAAGACGAGTCACCGTTTCTCCACATTGTCATGGCGATGGCAGGAAATATGCGCCGTGTTGCAGTGCCTGCCAGCAGCTCATTGTGCCTGCAGATGATGGACGGGACAGCTACACTGTGGAGTGTTTGGGCCACACCTTTCATGAGGACTGCTACCGATGCGAGGTAAAGGACAGGAAGGGGGTGCCACTCGTGGGGGGAGGGGCTTATGTTGGTGGAGGGATGAGATCACTTCCTTTCTTGGGAATAATGCTACCAGGAGGACAACAGTAAAACAGACTCTAAGGTCATGGCAGAAAACGGGTCTGTGCGGCACAAGGGGCAGAGGATGGAGCCGGAGCGTTACGAGGGATTTGGGAATTCGGCAAGATCGGGGCTGGGAATGAACACAGAAGCAAAATGGGAAACTGGCAGCGGAAGGATGGCAATCGGCAAGGGTGGAGCTTGGGGAAGGGGGGCTGATTCGCCTGAGATGAAACTGCAATAAATTAGCAAGATCAGCATTGGCACGTTGCACCTTTGCATAAGTGATTTGTTATATGTAGACAAAGTAATACATTGTACATCAGATACGTGCGTTAGCAAGTAAGGTAAACAGGATGCAGGATTTTTGCTCCCCCACTCGACATCAAACTCGAATATGGGAATCAGGTCTCACAGTACAGTAAGTTAAGCAGCAACGTTTGGTCTGTGTTTTATAATACACACACACACACACACAACTACACATGCTGGTCACATGTGCCACGCTTTTCTTCAAGCTCCCGTCTCATTCTGCACTCAGACCTGCCAAGTGTTACTCTCTCCGGAGCCGAATGACCAAGGCTGCTACCCTCTGGATGGAAAGATGCTCTGCAAGCCTTGTCACCTGACCCTGGTGCAGGAAAGCCAGGGTTAGGGGCAGATCTCCTCCACTCCACTGGATGGCGCTGAAGAGGGTCAAGGCTGAGTGGAGGAGGAGTACGACCAAAATGCGGCTTTTGGTGGGGGTGAACTGGAGTTTGAGGGATGTCCGTGTGTGTATGTCAGATGTGGGAATGTTTGACTTTTTCAAAAGATGATTCAGTCTGCTAAAGACCAAAAGTATTTTACTACACTCTGTGTATTTCAGTCGTTTTTCATTTCTACTTGACAAGTGTAATATTTCATTTATAATTGATAATTGGTCTTATATGCAACTCTTCCTTAAATGCACCTGACTCTGAAATGTGCCAAAGATTTCTATTAAAATCCTTCCTTTGTCTCACTCACTCATTATGTGGTTAAACTGTGTCACCATTCTATAACATGTTAAGTAATGGATGAATAAAGTCATATTTTGAATGTTTGTGATTTGATTGACTTTGCTTTCCAAATTATTTTGAAGTTCCTCTCCCCTGAAGTCTTGGAAATCCTGCTATGACTTCGGCACCACTTTTATGTTACTGGTCCTGGGGGTGATTTTTCACTCTTTCTCTGTGTCCCTAAAGTCAAAATATCATTTATAGTCAACTTCAGAAATATGATGAATGGATTCATGCACTGAGCTGAAATTCTTGTTGGTCATTGTGCAAATGAGAAATAATACATAGAATATAAATGTGGAGACATATAAATGTAATATAAACATGACATTATAAGACAAAGAGATACACTTAACACCCAGATTGCCAGAAAAAGACTGGAAATTTGGAATGGAGCAGAATGTGTAATACATGAATAAATTCAGATTCAGAGTTATGAGTCCTGGGTCAAATGGCCTCTGCATCACCATTTTTGATTTTGGGGAAGGGTTAATTTAATTTACTTAACTGGGAAGAAAGTTACCAGTCACCAGCTTTCAAATGGAAAAGTATCACTGTCAAAGGCATGCATAGGAGGCTCTGAAGTTCCAAAAAAAAAAAATCACTGAAACGGCTCTATTCTCACTCTCTGTTCTGTTTATCTGAATTTGCTTATTTCATGAAAAGAGTCTAAAATGTAGCCCGAAGTGTGGAAAGTGGTTTGGGGGCTTTTCGGAGAATTTTTCCTTTCTCTTGCAACATGACGTCCAGGCAGAACATCGGTCAGGGTCACAGGCCAGGTCACACCCGTTTACCGTCTCCTGGAAAAAGGCGCAGAGATCCAAACCCACAGTTTCTGTTGCATTACTGACTCTCCTGAAACTACCACTATGGGAAGTTGCAAAAAAAAATGTAATTCTGGAAGGTAATTCAGATACCAAGTTTAAAAAAACCAAAAACATAATGATGCAAAAACCTTTTTGGAAATTTGTTGAAATTAACAGGCCCATGCTTGAGACAGGAAGGGCCAGACTGTTCAATGGCTGAAGAGTCTGAGGGTAAAAGCAGTTTTAGGCCTCGCTGTGCTTAGCTTCAGAGTACCAGATGGCATTCGAGGTCACATGACGGGTGTGAGGGGGATTTGATGAACCCAGTGTCCCCTGGATGCAGTGAGCACATATGTTACATAGGAATAACCTCCATATCATCATTTAGAGGTGGTGATGTCACATACAGCAGTGACTGAGCGAGCCATATCTGTAGCAGTCAGACACCACTCTCGGTATTCTAGTAACGTTGCTGTGCTTGATTAATACAACATGATTAAAGTAATCGAATACAATGTAAGTGAGTACTACCATATTTTTTTACCATTGAATGAAGATTTAATTAACTTTCATTTTGATGAGAACCTGTCTTTAAGTTGAATTAATATGTCACTATACTAGGAGAATTCAGGAGAAATATTCACACATATCTGTTTCTGAAACTTATCCACGTAGGTCATAGGCCAGAATTTAAATTCATAGGCCACAGAATCAGATGAAATCACGCCCCATATTGGTGCAGAATAGGCCTTGGGGCATATCATAACGTACGGTAATTCTATGTGTAAAGCGAAGTTAGTTGAGGCCCGTTATTAGCAGAGGCCCCTGGGGTTCTACCCAGGTAACCCCATGCATTAAAGTCCCCCCACCCCCCCACTTGATTCCCCTCACTGTCTCTTTTCCCATTTCACCTTGCTCAGAACTCATTTTTGTCACACATTATCCTTATTGCTTCAGACAGTGTTTCATCTTTCGACCCTGAAGCCACTACTTATTTTCTCTCCAGAAAATCGACCTTCTTTGTCAGCGTTGGGAGACCTGACGCCTACCCCATGATCCCATGCAGCACAAGGCAGAGGAACAGCCCGGATGGCATAGCAGTCCTCGACACCCAGACAGTCCCCATTTTTGCTCCCTGTACCAGGCATTCGGTGTTCTTGATTGGCTGGGGCTGGGGAGGGAGCAAAAATGGGGACTGTCTTGGGGTCCCCAAGGACTGGGTTGGAAAACTCTACTCAAAAACAACCCAATGGAAATTCGAGCAATAACACTGGCTGTAGACTAGACCAGTCATGCCATTAGTTAAATGGGACATGTCTCTTACTTGTTTGTGGGTGAGTGGGTGAACCACATTATGGTCAGCACTATACAGCCTATATTACAGTAGTGTTCAACCTTTCAGTCCATCTTGACTTGTTTCCAGGTCAGTGTTCTAAAATATAACAACCCCCCCGGTAATAGGAAAAATATACCGAGGGGATCCCCCCCCCCCAGTTAGCAGAAATTCCTGAGCTGCTTTTTGTTGTAAGTTCACCCCTGGTGGGACCTAAGGCTCAAATACACTCATGCAGTACAGGCAATTCAAAGACACCAATTAATCTAACCCATGGGTGTAAATTATGGGGGAATGTAACACCCCCCCTCAAATAATCATATTGTCACGATGAATGGGTGGGGACCTCAACCCCTCCCATGTTCAATCCAAAGTTATGCCCTTGATCTCACCATATGTGTTTGAATACACAACAAGTCAGGAAACACGCAGACTGCAGACACACGCGCACACACAGCAAACGGCAGGGGGAGATCCCACGACCGAAGAGGCGTGATGTCATGCTGGCGCCCTTTCAGGCACGCGGCTGCCGGCTCAGTATATACAGACGATAGTTATTGATTAATAATCATGTGTCACTTACATCAGAAACAAAACCGGGAACACGCAGAGACAGGTTTGAACTGCCGGTGATTAAATGACCTAAGACCATTTCAGTACCACATTCAGAGTGTAGAAACCAGAACAATGTGTGATAAGAGTATTGTACGATACGCTCCACGTTGAGTTTACAAGGAATGAGAATAAAACTAAAAATAAGCATAAACGTTTTGAAAATGAGATGCAGGAGATACATCATACAAACGTACCAAGTGCCTGTAACTGCTGCTAAAATTCGTGATCCCGATTCATGTTTGCAGAGATACGCAAATACTCACCTTATTGTATTAAAAGGCATCCCCGAAATTTCCCGTAGCGTCATATGGTTCTGCCACCAGAGGGCGGTCAGCTATACGTAAAGCTTTCGTTAGCAGGTCAGTGACCTAATTAAAGGCGGCTTCTCGTAGGTTCGCTATGTCCCCATCTACGTTTCCTTGTGATTAAAACTGATTAAATTACAGTACTACAATAATATCAGTTTTAGCGTAATCGAATTAATGTAGATGACCGGGCATTGAAATTTTCGAGTAAATTCTTTAACTTTTACTTAGTAGACTAAGCCTAGTTTGCTTTTTCATCACAGTCGCTTTAATTAGCTCACATATAAAAAATATGTCATCATCCGTAAGAGTCAGACATAAACACATAAACTAAACATGCTCATCAAAATCCAATCATTTTTTAAATTAAACCGTGGGCCTACCAAGCTGTCAGAAGTAATGGGTCAGTTTAAATGCAAGTATAAGTGGTCTACAACACAGAGCGGCCTATTTTTTGATAATACAGTAGCAAATGCAGTCACAGACTAGGAAATTTAGGTAATCAGACAAACGATCAAAAATAACTAAGATGAAGATTATTTGGGTCTATGAATAAAACAAAGGCGTAGTATTTGGGTGGATTTCTTACATATACCCACCCAGCGGTAGGATGGTCGTTCCACACTAAGTATGTTCTGCTGTACTGAACATATTGTTGACAAATGGCAGGATAAAAATGTGGTTGCCGGACCTCCAAACTCAAATCTGCATCGTTTATAGGCCGAAGAGACATACAGTGTCCAAAGTCTGTGAAACTGTAAGCGCGGTGTCCATCTCTTTCATAATTCTTTAAAACACCACATAAAACAGTTCCCACCAATTTAACCTTACAATGTAATCATCACATTAAGATCTACGAAAAAAGTCAGACATCTTTAGAATAAAGTAATTTCTGGGATAATAGCTAACAATGTTTGTACATGTTGTTTGTTAACTGGGATAATATCGTTACATAACTTAGAAAAACAGCAGTAAGCAATATCCATACAAGAAATGCAGAAATGTCAGTCGGATAAAAAATATTTAAAGGATCTAGCCCATTCCCTGGACTTAATTAAATCAAAAAGCATCGAATTTTATTACCTAACAGCTATATTTAGATGATTCGCATATTAAGGATAGTACATTACTAACGCCGCCCAAATTAGACTGGGTACTCCCATTCTCATTAGACCTGTTGTATTTTACATAAAAAAATTGCTGAACTGGTGTAACTGGTATTATTAGTTCGATGTGTATTGTGTACCTTCTTATTTAACATCCCTGCTCCGAATAGCTATACGTAACAAAAACACGGCCTTGTTGCGCAACAGCACCGTAACACATAACGATGTTTTTAAGGGTGGTTAGATATTCCCAGGTGCTGTACGATACCGAAAAACCAGTTAAGTCCGGATGGGCAGGCATACTGCTGTGGTCGGGAATAAAAGAAGCAGGCTATTCACGCATTCCCTGGATGTGGAGAGGGCAGCATAAATCCACGACTCCACTCATTATTTGTGGAGACATTTTACTTTTACAGTCATTACCAAACGTCGGCATTATTTGTCAAACAGGAGCTGCAATGCGAGGTGTATGCCATTGTGTGCAATAAGTTACTGCCATCCCCTGATTATCTCACACTTATGCGATATGACAAAAAGGGAAAAAAATAGTAATAGAGTTACTAAAATAGTTTATACGGCTATACTTCTCCTGAAGGGAAATTACAATTAAATTTGTTCAGGTGAAAAGCATACGCTACATGTGACGCGTGTTTGATTTAATTGTATTTGTTACATTGTATCTACAGCTGTTGATACACAAAGGGTTGCGCAGTTGAGTAGCTGCATAACGCCAGTAAGCCGCAGCTTTACTTAAAATGGCCGATCGGAGATGCAGCTTTAAGTCCCATGAAATGGCGTCCGATGCGCGACATCGCAAATATTTGCTAGTCGCCACCAAGAGTATTGTTTGCAACCACGCACTCACCTCCTTTCATTGTT